ACTAAATATTTAGATATATATTTAAAGTAGGTAAGAGGGGGTATCTTAATAAAGTAATATACTTAATAAATAAAGATTTAAAAATATATTAATAATATATTAATAGAAACTAGCTATTCTATATACTATCTAAAGAAGTTAACTCTAGAAAGTAACTAGAGTAAAATTAACTTAACTTCTTTAAATAATAAATTAAATAAGGGAATACTATATAATTTATTAAAGAATAATTAAATCTAATAAGATGCTAATAGAAGAGATATAGACTTTAATAAACTATTTATAATAATAATTCTAACTTATTAGGAGTAATTAGAGAAGGATAAGTTATCTAGTATTATAAGAATATTAAGATAAGAGAAAGAACCTATTCTATTTAAGTAAAACTACTTAAAAATAGCTAAATATAAAAGAAATAACTAAGAGAAATACTATAGATAACTTTAAAAGAATACTAGAAGAACCTTCTAGACTTCCTTAACTTTATTAGCTTTATTAATAGGAGCTAGGCTTAACTATCTTAGCCTCTATCTCTATCTTAAAGGCTAGTAAGACTAGTAAGTTACTTATCCTAATATATCTTATTCTTTAGATTAAGTTCTTTATTATTATTATCTACTTTATTAGAGTAAAGAGCTTCCTTAAGCTTTAAAATTTTTCTATTAATAAGCTTAGAGAAATAGGTAAGATCCTTCTAAACTACTTAAAGTATAATAAGATCTTTAAAGTTAGATACTAATATAGACTAAGGGAGAATAGTACTATTAAGAGGATAGTTAAAATAATATTTCTTAAAAGAAGTTAGAGATACTCTATTTAAAGTAAGATAATATTTACTCTTTAAATTATTAAGACTAGAAGTAATAGAGTTAGACTAAGATAGATTTAAGTAAGGATTAGTAATAATAATCTCTATAGTAGGATCTATACTAAAAATAAAGAAATTTATAGTACTTAAAGTTAGAGTAGTACCTAAGATTAGAGAACTACTACTTAGTATTAGGAAGATTAGGATATTAGAGTATATTATTTTAGCTTAAGCTTTCTCTATAGTAGTATAGTAATAATAAATATTTAATATAGGAATAGGATTCTCTTTAGAACTACTTAATTAACTTAATCTAGTCTAATACTTTAGATTAGTATTAGGTATAGATAAAATAGCTTTATTTATAGAAGAAGAGGAGTAATAACTATAATAACTTAGGCTAGATTTAATAGTAAGCTTAAGAGAGGTTTAATATAAAGTATTTAATTATTATTTAGTAGATATATTAATAGTTTTACTTAGAGATATATCTTATAAGGTAGAACTATTATTCTAAATCTTTAGTAGACTACTAGCTTATAGAATTATCCTATATAAATAAGTAACTATTAGTAAAAAAGTTTAAAATAAGAAACTTATATATTATCCCTAGAATTCTATTACTTACTATAACCTAGGTAGAATTTATAGTTTAAATCTTTTCTATACTATAGATAGTTTATATAGATACCTTAAAATAAGGCCTAAATTATACTATTTAAATTATACTTAGGAGATATAATATATTTAAGAAATATATTAGAGTCTATATATTACTTATAACTAGGACTTATAGTAATACCTTACTAATAGAGAATAATAGCTAATTACTAAGATAGATTAATAATTAGCTTTATTAATAGTTTACTACTCTTACTATAAGACTATTTAATATTATATACTATATCTAGAAGGGTAATACAGGATCTATCTTACTTTATTAATAGGAAAAAGTACTTCTCTATTACCTACTTAATAGTATTATAATAATTAGGAATAAGCATCTTTAAATTAGGAATAGGAGTATAATAACTAAGAAATTAAAGTAGATAAATATACTTTATAAAAGAAAGAGACTATAAAAATCTATTAATCTAAATAAATAAAAGCTAAGCTAAGGGATCTAATATTAAGGCTTAGTTATAAAATATCTTATATATTAAGTAAGAAAAGTTAGGGGTATTTATATCTAGGCTATATATACTAGTAGTAAATACTTACTTATTTATTTATACTTATTAGTTAATTCTATCTTTATTAATTTAATTATTTATATATATATATAAATAATAATATTTATTATAATTCTTTATATAGTACTTAAGGATTACTAATTACTTAGATAACTTACTTATTAATATTACTAAGTAAGGTAATCTAATTATATCTCTTATATATTAAATAAAGAATATACTTAGCTACTACTATAGTAATTTTAAAATAATAGTATAAAGAATAATTTAGTTAATTCTATAGATTATTAATAAAGAAATAATAATATCTAAATACTAGATTTAGAAACCTATATCTCTTAGTAATAGTTATATCTATATAGTTATATTAATAGGTACTAACTAAGAACTCTATAGATAAAGTTTAATTTAAGCAGGGGAGGATATAATATTAATAGTAGGTATATAGCTTTAAGAAAGCTATATTAGGTATATAATAATATCTAGTAACTAATATTATTATTTATATAGTTAGTTAGATCTTATATTCATTCTTAGCTTAGGTTAAATATAAAAGATAGCTAGAATCCCTTAAAGTAAAGGAGGCATATATAGGGCAGCTACTAGCCTACCCCCTACCCTTACACTCTTTAAAGACTCCATGTCCTTAACAACTATGAATATCCCAGTATTTTATTATTATAGGTGTTCTTTATTAGGTCCTTCTAGGGATGTCAATATCTGCAATAATATATTATTATAATTCATACTATCAGTATCATCTGGTTCATCTAGTTCATCTGGTTCATCTGGTTTATCTGGTTTGTCTGGTTCATCTGGTTTATCTGGTTCATCTGGTTCATCTGGTTCATCTGGTTCATCTGGTTCATCTGGTTCATCTGGTTCATCTGGTTCATCTNATCTGGTTCATCTGGTTCATCTGGTTCATCTGGTTCATCTGGTTCATCTGGTTCATCTGGTTCATCTGGTTCATCTAGTTCATCTAGTTCATCTGGTTCATCTAACTTATTTATACATAAGTAATTTCTAATATCACAGGCTAGAAGCCATATAGATCTATAACCTAGATTCAGATGGTAAGAAATTGCTGAAGAGTCTCTAACTAGGGCTGCAGTGGCTGAACATAAAAAGGAGAGACTGGAGAGTATAAATAATAAGTAAGGTTATATAACTACTACTATCCAGGTTAGATGAGAGTTCATTGATACCTAAGGCAGTTCGCGAGGGCGAGGGCTTAGTAAGCACAAGCATCCAGTGGGCCCTGCCCGCTACAATAAGAGTAGTATACTTCTTATTTAACCTAATCTAGTCTTAGTCTACTAAATAACTATTATTTATACTATCTTACTAATATAAATTAGTTATAACTAAGTGAAAATAAGTCACAACCTCAAGTTAACACCAAATGTGGGCACCTAAGTAATCAGGGATGAATGAAGGCTTTATAGTGGATTTGACCAAGGGATCACTGCTTAAAGTCTAATAATTACCTCCCCTGAAAGTTGTATCCCATAATATTATCTTGGTCTGTACTCTTGCTAACATTCTGATTACATGGGACTCTTTACAACAGTAACTGTCTCTGTCACCTCGACTTCGCCCCCGATAAATTCCATGGTCTGAGAGGTTCTCGTGCTAATAGTTGCGCCCCATGGAAGCAGGGGTAACTGCTGTTGCGTAAAGATAACATCTCATCCAATGATTTGCCGCCAGGGGAAAAATCGATTCTCCAATCGTTCGGTGCTGATTAGGGAGGTGGAAACACGAATTGAATGATCAAGTCAATGAAAATGGGCAGTAAACATGAGCTGCAAGCCCCATCACCGAAAGCACCGGTGAATTGAGAATGAATAGTTCCCCCCCCCCCCCCCCCCCCCCTTCCCCCCCCCCCCCCCCCCCCCCCCCCCCCCCCCCCCCCCCCCCCCCCCCCCCCCCCCCCCCCCCCCCCCCCCCCCCCCCCCCCCCCCCCCCCCCCTTCTTTCCTCGTCACCTGCCTATTCGGAGCCAAAAATACGTGCTAGTTAGTGGTGCCACTATGTAGATTTCCCGTCAAGCCACGCGTTTAGCATTCTCAAAATAATGTCAGAGGTAGATAGCACCTCAGACCCACCATCGTCTTTTCGATCGAATGCGTGTCGTAGGACCAATTTTGGCCGCTGTCTGGCCGAAAGAGCGAACGTTCTCACGGCGCAGGCTTCTAGCATCCTCGATTCCTGACACCGTTCAGAATTCGGGCCAGAATGCCTCCAAGAGACGCGATCGGCAGGTGTAATCGTGCCAACTTAACTCCATATACCCTGTCATCAGGAAGAGACAATCTAGATTAAAGCCGGAAATGTTGCACCGTTGCTAGGGACCAGTCGACAATACCAGTGATTTCATATGTGTCTGGATTGACAAGAACATTTGTTTTGGGGAAGTTGCCATGCCAGGACCTGAGGATATTCATGGAGCCATAGAGTAGATACGGAGTTGCGGACCAGACCAGATCTGCTCATAATGCCGTGATTTCTCCCGTTTTGACACTAGGTTTGCCGCTCGAGAAAGCGGGGTAAGTGCCTCGAGTTGGCCGGCGAAGGAAGCTTCCTGTCCAGTTGTTTGCCGCCAGGAGAAAATTTGGGGTTCCTGACGGTCAGGTTTGAATGGGCGAGTAAATAAAAATAGATAGCAAACCGAGCTTCCGCTAATGCACGGATATTAATATAGCTTCAGTTGCTATGCTCGAGACCATTTCTGCCCGAGGCTAATCGAGACAAATCCTAATTGCTGCATCCGCCCATTGCGGTTAAGTATGCTCATCTTCTGCTGCGAATCTATAATATAAAATAGTGCTTGTCCTTCCACTTCCATAACAACCACTATAGCAGAGATAAAGTCTTAAAGTTTTCTCTCGCCTGATAACCAGTATAAATATTCTTGTTAGTCTTCCTCCCCTATTCATGGCAACATGACGCATAAGACGCATCCAAAGGCTAAAAAATCTAGATCGTTTATCAAAGATGTCTCGTGCTTTTTCAACCACTTCAAATTATTTGAAAAAGCTGAAGTGGACTCTCAACGGTACCACTGAGCCCGTTGACTGGGCCATCCGAAATGTCGAGGCAGCAATTGATAAAACCCCCGGTCTTAAAAACGTGGACACTGGAGTCGTGAAGTAAGGACAAACCCTGTGCAGAAAAGGGATTTCACTTATTGAATAAAAGCGGAAATCCGCATCCGACACCGAGCAACAACGATCCAGAACATGTCTCTGGTGCAGTTGGCTTTGAAGACATGCAGGGCAGGAAGCGCATTACATCTTTCCACGCCTATAAGAGTGGGTTGGTCAAGTTTTCTAAAAAGATTTTCGGACAGGTGGTAGTGTCTACGGATGAATCTGAATCGTCACAAGCGTAGATGATAATAAGAGGCTTGGAACTGGATCCGGCGCTCCTTATAAGACATAACTATGCTTATGATGTACACAAATTAGTTGACGTCGCTGTCGTGGTTGTAGCATCTAAAGAACCCGCAGTGGTGCATGCGACTGTTCTTAGCTTTACCCACACATGAATCAAATCCATTGTTCTTTTTTGATAAGATTCCGTTTCCTTGAATTGGAATATAGAACATAAAGCCGACTGAAATCTTTTCACTTGTGGATTGGCTGACCATACGGGTTGATAGGAGCGAGGTGTTGGAAACCTGTCGCAATAAATATGGGGCACAATACCGCTAGACCAAAAATGCTCCATGGGCAACATTCTTAGTCCATCCCTGCTTTTCTTGTTCCGACAAAACTGGGGGAGTTGACGGAGCAGCAGGATTGGTGGATCCCTGGAGAAAGGAGATACTATAGATCCGCTAAGATTAGTCATGTTTATGCCCATCCAAATTGCCAGCTAGGGGCTATATAGCAATTCAGACCTGTTGATATTCCTATTGGTGGACCCAATGACCCACTGAGCAGTATTCCCGACTGGAGTTCAGTTCGGAACAGATTAATGTGTCATCCGAAGCCTTTGAAATACCCCTTCCTGTCATTACCCCAAAATTTGGTTTTAGTCTTATTTATCATCCTTCGTTCCAGCTGAGTATATTGAGTGAAATTGAATATGGCTAGGCGCTCCTTGCAGCCATTTATTTTTAGACCTTCTGTCTTCCGCAAGCCCCGCACCGTTTTTCATACTGCAGGGACTGAGCTGCCCTTGGAAGTTCCCATTGAAGAAGAGGTTGCTCCTGGATATGATGCCAAGTTCTATTTTCCTGTTGAGCCTGGGTACATGTTCAATCAAAGGTTTGAAGCATTGACAAAGCTTGGCTGGGGCAGTTGTTCTACTGTATGGCTTGTTCGAGACGTTCGACGGTAAGTGATTGCGGGTGATCTTGACTACGTGTTCCGCGCTGATGGCGAAGCATTCACCAGCTGGCGCTGCCAATCCGAACGCTATTTGACCGTGAAGGTTGGAAATTGTGATTACCAAGACACAAATGCAGCTTCGCATGAGGCTCAGATTGAAAGTCATATCGCACATGCAAACTCCTACCACGATGGTCGTAACTATATCAGGACTTTCGTCGAATACTTTGAAGAAAGGGGCCCGAATGGTACACATATATGCTTAGGGTATGAACCGATGCGAGAGCCACTATGGCTATTTCAAAGTCGCTGCCGGGATCAGAGGCTCCCTTTGGGGCTTTTGAAGGGTTATATGAAACTGCTTCTGAAAGGCTTGGACTACTTGCACAGCGAATGCAACATCATACATACAGGTAAGCCAAGTCATCACCGTCGTATTGCCTATGAGTTATATTTATTATCTTAATAGATCTGAAGTTGGACAACATCCTAGTCGGATTTGAGGATCCTTCGGTCCTGCAAGATTTTGCGCGTGCACAGCCATTCAACCCAATGCCCCGGAAAATCAAAGATAGTCATAATGTTTATGTCTCTCATAACGACTTCGGAGGGTTGAGGTCGTATTATATTCTTCCAAAAATCACGGATTTTGGGCTAGCACACCACCACAAAGATACATCAGTCATGAATAGGCATCCAATCCAGCCAGATGATCTCAGGGCCCCCGAGGTCATATTGGGCGCTGGGTGGACGTACAGCGCTGACATCTGGAATCTGGGTGTTCTGGTGAGCCTTATCTTATGTGATGCCCACCTATCAGCTAATCATTGATAGATGTGGAACTTGCTTGAACGACGAGATTTATTCTCCAGGACTGCTGATACCCAAGGCAAATACAACCCCGCAAAACATCTAGCGGAAATGATTGCATTGCTTGGTCCACCGCCAAAAGAACTTATACTTCTAGAAAGGGAGGGCCTTAGATGGAACTGGGCTCCAGCTGCCCAGAACGCCGAGGGAAAAATGTGTACAACTGCATCGGAGTGGTTCGGGGGGCCCTTCTTTGATGAGAATGGTGAAGCCCTTCCTGACATACAGAATTTATTTCCTTATACTAATTTGATTTCCGAACAGGCGAATTCTTACATGGGGACTTGATTCCCCACAACCTCAAAATTGAAGATACAGTTGACACACTTGAAGGAGAGCAGAAAAGCCAGTTCCTATCGTTTGCCAAGAAGATGCTCCGGTGGCTTCCAGCTGATAGGAAAACTGCCAAGGAGCTCATCGAAGATCCATGGCTCAGTGATGACTCAATAAAAGATTCTTGAAAACTGCAAAATGTCAGCCACAGCTGTTACCTGAAACATTATCCCTAGCTCTGCACTTTCAAGGTCCCGTTCACTGCTTAGTGGACGATCTAAAGAGTCGGCAAGGCCTTCAAGGCGCGCAACTGTCGAGAATAATTGAAGCGGGTGGTCGCTTGTTGCATGGACGTAGCTTCAAACTGAATCGTAGATTTCCTGCTGCGCTGCTGCGCAATCTGTCCGTGGAAGTAGGCGAGCAGGGCGAAATTCCCCTTCAGGAGCGGGTATTTTCTCCTTCGTAGAGCGAGACGGAGTTCTCACGCGTAAAGGCCTGGAGAGCAAGTTATGGCAGGTTCGAAGATATTCTAGCAAAGACGTCTTTCGAGTGAACAGTTTGTTTTGTTCTTCAGCCTGTCGTCTATCTTCCTCGGCCTGTCTCCGCAGCTTCATTTCTCTCTCAACAAGTTCTTTGTAATTTGGCGAGCTGATTCAATCCATAGAGCATTTTAACAAAAATCTACCGGAACGGTGTTGTTTTTAGCTCGATCTCCACACCAGCTGGATTATCGAATTTCCACTGAGGGGTAGATACTTGGTCTACGGGCGGATCTCCTTGGCGTCTCAGGCATCTGCATCACGTGCCTCTCTGGGCACTAGGCTCCAGTTCTCCCCTGCGACCCTGTTGCATCTCAGACAGTTGAATGACAGAGCGCACATCACTCTGAACCATGCTTTTCCTCCTCTCCCTTCGTGATTCAAAAACGGTGCTCATGTCCGACTCACCAGATTATAAAGCCCTCTTCCTCAGGGAAAAACGCCGCAACCAGCACACCACGTTTAGTGAATTTATCCGCGCCTGCCACAGCCTTCTCTCGACATCCCTGAAAGTCGAAACCCCATCTCGGTCCACTCGAGGAACCATACCACCGCCAACTGGAAAATATTGTCCCACACGGCTTCGCCTGTGGGAGGACTGTCCAGCCAGGCAACAAGCAATCTACGACGCGGTTTGCAGTTACTTGCAGCCATCAGAGCAAGATGCACCCCGGCTATTTTCGCCCTTGGCGGAGCTGGAAGGCCTTGGTCGTCGGTTTAGTCGTCGACCTCTCAGCAGTGAACAAGATTTAGAAAGTTACGAGCGATTTGCCGTGGAAGACCACGTGCATGATGTGATTGCGGAACTCTGCAAAATACGAGAGGCTCGGCAGCGGTTTCGATTAGGCAACGGCATCCGTTTCGATAATCATGCGAACGCCCTAGATGAAGCCGAAGTTGATCCATCGGAAGACGAACCATCTAATCCCCACCGAGCCCGGCCCGATCAGTTCTGTATTCATCGAATCGACGACAATAACACTACCCTCCTCACCACAGTCGAGTATAAGCCGCCTCATAAGCTCTCTGTCGAAAATTTACGAGTTGGGCTTCGGCCGATGGATTTCTGGGAAACTGTAGTAAAGCCAGATACCATCCCGGTAGACGAGACAGTGAGGTTGAGACACAATGCAGAGCGGCTGGTGGGTGCAGCGCTGGTTCAGCATTACCACGTGATGATTCAAGAAGGCCTTGAGATCTCTTACTTAACAAACAGTTTAGCACAGGTTCTCCTCCATGTCCCATACGATGATCCGAGTACCCTTTGCTATTATCTCTGTGAGCCCAACATGGATGTGAATGCAGAGGACGACCAGAGTTTCCAGCAACCTAACACCGCCATTGCGAGGGTGCTGTGCCTTTGCTTAATGAGCTCTAGTTTGCCTGTGCGGGACCAAGAATGGCGAAATAATGCACGAGCAGGATTACATATATGGAAGACAAGTTTTGACCACACAAGGGCCCAGATCCCCGAGGAAGAGCTCCAAAGAACACCTCCAAATTCTGGATATACCGGCTCCCAACCTACTAGTTCCGAATATGCCAGTTCTGAGTATCTACCGTCATCACCTCTGGACTCTCATACAGTCACGGGTCGTCGAGTCTCCACTCGGTCCCGGCCAGGTTGTTCGCCGTCGGATACAGTGAACCGAAGCCAACGGGAGGACTCACCAGATCCGGATTCAAATCAAGGAGCACCAGCACGAAAGCGAGGCATCAGCCAGGTCGCATCTTCTCCACCTACGCAGCGGACAACACGCCAATCTACTAACGATACATGCAACAGCCAACATCAGCACCGTATGGTGCCGTTTTGCACACAGCGGTGTCTGCTCGGGCTTCAGCGGAATGCTCCCTTAGACGCTAACTGCCCAAATGTAGCACTACATCAACGAGGCCAAAATGGCAACCGACACCTTGTCACTGCCGGGAATCTAGTGGAACTGCTCAAGCGTCAGCTGGATGAAGACCTCAACCATAATTGCACACCGCTCGGTAACTGCGGGGCATACGGGGCGCCATTCAAGATCACTTGTGCTATATATGGTTATACTATAGTCGGAAAGGGAACCACCTCTCGCCTCTGGAAGGAAGTCTCCCGTGAGGCTGACATTTACCACGTCCTTCGAAAAGCGCAGGGGTCTGCGGTCCCTGTTTTCCTCGGAGCTATCGATCTCGCAAAAATTTATTTTTTGCATGGAGCTGGAGAGATTCGTCACATGTTATTCATGGCCTGGGGCGGGGAGAGCACGAGCAAGCTCAAGCGCGGACCGGCCATGTGGCGTGAGATTTCGAGGTCAAAGAACGAAATTCGTGCCTTGGGGGTCGTGCATCAAGATCTCCGGCTGGATAATATTCTCTGGAGTTCTGAACTAAAGCGAGCTCTGATCATTGACTTTCATCGCTCCACTCTGGATCGTCGACCGGGTGGAAAGCGCATGGCTAGCGTCAAAAGATCGCTGTGCAGTATTGAAGCGAGGGATTCGAAGCGATTGCGTGTGAAATAGCCTGCTTCTATGGTCCACTCATAGAAGTAGACGCGCATTTTCCCGCGGCCACTACGGATGTCCAGCGAAGCGTCGGATGTCTCAAATGGGACCGTGGGCGCACTACCCAAGTGCTTCGATATCAAAGTACACGGGCACCAGAAGTGGTCACGCGCCAAATGGGGGAGCCTAGTGACTAAAAAACGCAGATGGGAGTGGCCCACATGGCAGGAATCCCAGTTGGTTGATATCCAGCCAATTGCAAACAGTCGTCCCGGCCAAGTTCCCGGCCAACCCGAAGCATTTCCCCAAAATTACCCGCAAATGGCAATTGCTGAAAACAAGTGCCGATTCAGCGCACTCGTCATGAGACCACAGCGCCTGTTCTATGGGGGACCAAGATAGGCGGCTACTCTTACAACCCACACCATTCCACCATGAGCCAGTGGGCAGTCAGAGCTTTGTAAAACCGTTGATAGGAGCGCTGTCTCTCTTGCATCCATCTGTTTGGCAACGTCACGTAGATCCAGCCGGTGGTCAGCGCGATAGGGAGTAAGAGAAGATCTGATACAACCGTCAAACAAATTGACCTCCACCAGCCAATCATTTCCATATGAGGCAATTAAGATGTACAGCCAATCAAATAGGCAGTACTGTCTATTTCTTTGGTCCCAATCTATAAACTCGCTCGTCAGCTCAGCTATATAGACGTGGGATCATTAATCATAGCCCGAATAGTTAACATCCCTGGAGCTAGATGACCTCACCGCACAGTATACAGACACAGCCATGTCTAACCTCATGTACGGAGTGTTGTTTGGTGTCTTTGGACTCGCGCACATGTGCACATTCAAGCCTTTTGGTTACCTGGTAGCACACTGCAGGCTATGCACTTGCCATGTTTTTTGAGGCCGAGCTAGACTGCGGAAGGACCTAGAGCTTCCAGTGAATAAAATAATCCATCTATTTTGCTAACTACCCTGCACCACTAGCAGCAGCTGCTGCTAACGGGACACTTGTGAAGCACTGGTAAGTCATCTGCCGTCAGGTAAGATTCTCATAATGACATTTCTGTGGCTCCATGTATGGTTTAACTAACTTCTCTTGATTCAATAGGCTTTCGGTGGGGACATGAAATGTGTTATCCATGGCGAACAGCTCTTGGTGGATGTTTTAACCGCTGCTTGTACAGTCTCAAAGGTACAGTCATCACTCCCATACAGTTATAGATCCAAGACTAGTCAATCCTAGGCCGCGGACCCTGATGTGTGCGCCAGTGTTATGGCTAGTGGCAGCCACGGTGCACATTACGCATTGAAGAGAATGAAAATCAGCTCCCACACAGCCCAGACATTTTGCCATGATATTTTGGAAAGTATAATCCATCAGCTTCGTCCCTACAATCTTTCCTTTCCATCACCAAAACCCACCACTTCTCGCCGTCCTCTAACACCGCGCGGATTTAAGATTTATATCATCGAGCGACACTGCATTCCCCTGAAATCAGAAATTCACACCCTCAGGCTTCTGTTCCGGGTCCTCCCGGGGTTGAGGAGTGAGTTTGACAAAGTCCGGCTCCAACACAGCCAATATACCCAAGGCCATGGTGATTGCCAAGGCAATGATTTCTTCCAGCACCGCCATGCATAGATAGACGGTTGGATTTCCATCCAGAGAGAAAGTATCCAGAGAAGTGTAATCGCCGAGGGTCGAGTAGATCAGCCGGGTCACCAAGAAGGGGGTAGACAGGACAATGGCGATAAAGAGCTTCTTCTGGAATCGTCGCAATGAACCGCTGAGTTCCAGGAATAACCAGACACTCAGGACGAGGAAAAGCACGAAGACGGCGAGGAAGATGCCCATGGCGGCCTTGGCGAGTTTGTCGGGTGGATAACCACCGGAACTGACTCCTGCGATACCAAGAATAAGGCCAATGAAGGTGATTAACGTCAGTAGTTTCATTGGCCTGGGCGGCATTTTCTCCTCCACATCACTGAGAGCACAACTGTTAGTCTGCGTTTTGGTGGGATGGAGAACTTCCGGGGTCGCCAGCTTACATTTGACGCAGCAGTCCGATAAAGGTTAGCAGCAAAGGGGCTAGACCGATCAACTGACATACTGCCTCAGCCACTCTGATGTTGTACGAGTTGTTATTGATCGAGAGCAACGAAGAAATACTGCCAGCAATTCGTATGAGCGAGAGTGTGACAGGATATCGCCAGATCTTCCTGCCAACCCTCCAGCCTGATCGCTTCCAGATGAAAATGGCAGCAACGAGGATGATGGGGAATATGATGAGCTGGAGGATTGCAATGCCGTCGCGGTAGGTGATCTTTCCCATGGTGCTGTACTGGTAGGAATAGTAGAAGTTATAGAAGTAGTAGTAGTAGTAGAAGAAGAAGAAGAAGAAGAAGAACAATTAGTGTATGGACAAGTATGTTAGACTGGAGACAACACTGCTTGATGTGTCCATCGAACAAGGGGACAGCTGCTCCCTTTTACGTCCTTGGGATTAGAACATGGGAAACTCGATGTCGAGGTCATGGAGATCACAGCCCTACTGGTATTGAGATGGTGAGTGGACCAGCATCTAGATTACCGCAAGAGGATTAGCGCGTGTGCCGTCATTCAGGAGCTGAAATCACGAGAGAAGCCAGTCGCGAACTCCTCCTCGTCCATTGCATAGGTGTAACTGCCCCCGTGGGGCCCGATGGGGGGCCCAGTTGGGCGTTCAAGGCAAACTTCAAGGCGGACTTCCCATTTTCATCTCCCGAGAGCCAAAACAACTGATGTAAAAGCCTGGGCTAGTTCTCTTCGGGTAGGTGCGATGTTGCGATATATCATATACCCCACAGGGCCACAGCCACAGTGAGATTCAAGCTCATTTACTAACCGCATGGAGCGCTCCGGCGCCAGCGCTAGTGCTTTTCGGGCATGTAAGATGCTCGGCCAATGAAAGGGGACATGTCGACGGGCCAACCACTTTGGGAGATGTTAGGTATCTCTGCCATGCTTTGTCGTCCAATACATCATCTGGGTGGCTATAAATAATGGGGACAGCCGACAGCGAGCTCTTCATGATGCGGCAGCAATTTCTTCCTTTCCTATGTACTTCTAATTGTGGCGTTCAAACCCCGAGCAATGGTGCACATATCTTGTTTAGCGAATGCCGCACCTGCATTGGTGGCCCTATTGAGCCTAATCTTCACCACATCAGCGACACCTTCGGAGTACAACAGTCACACTGGACAATCTTCTTGGCCGTCGGCGAAAGAATGGGCGAGCTTTAATAGCAGTCTGTCTGGCAGATTGCACCGCACAATGCCCTACGCCGCAACCTGCTATTATAGTTCTCCATACTACGACCCTTCAGCTTGTGTGGTCGCCGCCGAGAACTACACAACAAATCAGGTACGAACCGATGTATACGGCGCAGCGACATCCCTCAACTGGGAAGTTTGCCATATTGAAGCATGCGCACTGAATGCGGTCAAACCGTCCAAATCCCTCTCAGCCGACTGCCACCTCGGCCGGTTGTCGTCATTGTATGTCGATGCTTCTGAACCTCAGCATGTGGTCACCGCTGTCAAGTTTGCCCGAAAGCATAATCTCAGAGTCACCGTCAAGAACACTGGACATGACTACTTTGGCCGCTCGACCAGTCCCAACACCCTTGCGATCTGGACTCACCGCATGAACACGATGACGTATCATGCGGACTTTGTTGCGTCGAACTGTCCGGTTTCGAACGGTCAACATATCGGGGAGATAGGGGCTGGTGCTCAAGCGTCGGATGTCTACACCTATTTCCAGGAGTTCAACATGGATGTGACGGGCGGAAATGAAGGATCGGTGGGCCTGGCGGGCGGGTTTGGTCAAGGAGGTGGTCACGGTATTTTTGGTCCTTTGTACGGTCTAATGGTGGATAATGCGGTCGAGTTCGACGTTGTGACGGCAGATGGCCAATTCCGCACCATCAACCGATGCAATGACCTCGAGCTCTTTTGGGCTATGCGAGGTGGAGGCGGAGGCACCTTCGTAATTCTCATAAGCTACCGGTTCTAACTCCACCCGGCCGTTAAGATCAATGTGTATCAGCTCGAGGCCAACTTCACGCTCCATGGCAATGAGACGGCCAATTACCCGGCCCTGGAACAACTTCTTACCCAGCACGCGACGAACCAACCGGTCTGGTCCCACCACAACATTTCAGGACATGCGTACTACTGGCCGACTAAAGCCGAGATTTACCTCGTCTTGCCGTCCAACGACGAAAGAGCCCTGAAATATCTCACCAGTGAATTTGCCTCCTTCGTGACGAACAACCCCAGTATCCGAGTCAGCAAGAGCACCTACACCACCTACCCCAAATACACCGAGTTCCTCCAGGTCACCAACAAGATTGCCGCCAGACTAACCCCAGGCGGCATCTTCGGAGTCGTCGCAGGTCGGCTAATGCCAGAATCCCTATTCGAAACCCGCCACACCGTGACCGATCTCGTCCAGGCCGTCCTCGACGGCATCCGCCTTAGCAATAAGCTACTTCCCGAGACGTCCGTCTCCCAGGTCATCATGACCACCCCGGCGAACCACCAAAACGGGGATGCGACAAGTGTTAATCCCGCCTGGCGCTCGGCTCTTTGGCATGTCCTCATGACCGGTGGATGGACGGAGCAGCTCAGCAACTTCACTGAGGCAGAACTTTTGAAAACATGGCTGGATACGGTCGAGCCCATGAAGGAGCTTACCCCCGGTGGAGGCTGCTACCTGAATGAAGGCCATTACTTGGAACCAGAGTGGCAGGAGACGTTCTTTGGATCAAATTATCCGGAATTGCTTCGAATCAAGAAAAAGTATGATCCATATCATTTCTTTGATTGCTGGAAATGTGTCGGCTGGCAGGGTCCTTCGGAGTAAGTTGTTCTCTTTTTTTTTCCCTGGGTTTAGTCCAGGGACCATTGTTGGGAATACGGCTAACTGTGAAAACTACGTAGTTCCTACAGCTGTTACAACTAGACTGTAATGTGTTTTTGTGCCGTGATCAAGTTGTCCTCCTGGCTATTAGACTCTTGTTGTTTCAGCTCCTGGCATTGACTGGATGGAATTGCATGCATCAGGGACCATTAAAATGATGGTTTCCGAACTCTACTTTACACAAAACCTTCCGAGGTTTCTAAGGTAGCTTTCGTACTTATTATTGTGAAAGAAGATACTAAGAAAGGGATAAAGGCCTATGGCCGTTGTATAGGCGGGGACCTTCCCTAGACAAATACCAACGCGACTAGCATTTTCCCTTAATCCTCACATTATCTGGATCGGCGATTGGATTGGTGGGTTGCTCTGGGGAGTCAAGGATCTTGAATTGAGCTTATTTTGCCTCTATAGGGTCACCAAGGCTGATTTTCACCACAACTCAGCTTTGCGATATTGTTGGCATCTCCAAATTCGCGTGTTGACTGGTCAGCACCTGAGATAGCCAAAGAAGACTAGGTACCTTAGCGTGCACGGGTAGCAGTCGGATCAGTATTCAGTAGCCATTCATAGTACTCAATTTCCAGCCTAAGTGGCTGTAGCTGTCTTCAGCTCACGTCAGCACTGTCGATGAGCAACAGTCTTCAAACACCAGCCTCCCTTTCCTCTTCGTAGTCTCATCATCATCATCATCATTGATCGCCTTGTCGACGGATGCTTCAATATGCCAAAACTCAAGGCACCTCGCGCAAGAACATCCAGAAGTTGCGAGAATTGCCGAGTCGTGAAACGACGCGTGGGTCTTTCCTTACCAGTCTAATGACACTAGCACTAACACGGTGACCCAGTGCGACAAGGAGGTTCCCCAGTGTGGTCAATGCATTCGCACGCGCGAAATCTGCCTTGGATACCGCGATGAATGGGATTTAATCTTCCGTGACCAGACAAACCACACCATTAAACGGTCCAGTAAGACACGAGAAACGAATGGGTTCTCGACCAGGGCTATCCCGTTGACTCCACCTACCCGAGGTCTGGATCCCAGTCTCGAGGAGATAGGCGTGAATTATTTCCTCCGGGACTTTGTCGCAGGTGGTCTCTCCCCTTCACGCGGATATCTGAACTATATCCCGACGGTCTATTCTGCCGATGCGGAGCACCCGGCCCTCGTTGCCAGTATGGCGGCCGTGGGCCTCGTCGCGTTGGCCTCTCACCAGCCCGAGCTGGTCATTCGTGCGCGCGCCAAATACTCAGAGGCGATCCGCCTTGTGAACCAGGCGTTAGCATCCCCGGCGGAGTCCGTCAAAGACAGCACCTTGATGTCGGTGATATCGCTGGGAGTTTTCGAGCACATCTCCAATTTTGAGTCTTGGGTTCGACATGTCAAAGGAGCTGCAGCGTTGGTGGTTGCCCGCGGCAAATCTCAATTTGCCCGTAGGCCTGCCATCCTGATGTTCAACCAGGTGCGCGCAGATATGTCAACTGCTTGTATTCAGACCGTACAGCCGTTTCCAGACGACTTGCAGGAGCTGCAGGAAGAGGCGACCAAGTACACCGACCGTTCGGATGCATTCTGGTTACTCGGAGTGCTCGCCACGCGGTGCGCAACCCTTTTCGCGGGCGTCGCAAAGAAGCATGATGACAAGTCTTTACTGATACCCACGTCCTGGTCGGACTTCCTAGAAGAATCGATCGCGATTCAGAGTGATTTCCAATATGTGCTTGATATCCTTACTACGCAAGAACCGTACATAACAATCAGGGAACCCCGTGGGGGCGCGACCTTCATTTCTTGTAATGGCCAATATGACCTATACAAGACATCTTGGGCAATAAGACTCTGGAACAACTCTCGAATGGTTGAAATCATCGTTTGCGAGATTATATGCTGGCTCATAAACAAGATGCTCACCGAGGAGCCGGCTTATCCCGCTGAGGGCCACCTGAAGCTTCAATCTAAGCTCCGGTATACAATGCAGATTATTTCAAGACGAGGGGCGGAGATACTGGCCAGCGTTCCACAGGGCCTAGGGCTTGTATCGGTCCCTGATGCTGATAGACCCCAAGAACCCAACGTGTAGGGTGGGTATATGCTGATCTGGAATCTATATACAGTCGGTAAATCTCCTGCTATCAGTCATCAAAATCGCCAATGGGTCATCAAGCAACTTCAGGGTATCAGTGAGCGTGCAAATATCGCAATAGCGTTTCAGCTTGCGAAGGATCTTGATGGAATAGGACGAAGTGAGCGTTGAGAGCCGTTGCCTCTAGGCAGGCCCCTTCAGGGATCAATTTTAAGGGATCCTAGCAACTTCACCGTAATCGAGAGGATCGACGAGGTGGTATTTGGTCTATCCACGCAGTTCTAATTAGACAACTGTATCAAGCATCTCAGTCCAGCAGCTAAGCAAGAAACTGCGTTGGCAACTACCCAATTAACTGCTACGTTCGTTAGTACCTAGTTAGGTGCATAACCACCGGCGAATCGCAGCTATTGCATCTTTGTTTCTTTTCTCATACATTCCTACCACGGTGCCCGTCCACTATCTGAGAATTGCGAGAATCTCTGGGCAATATGGAACCAAGACTACCCCCGTTAAAGCTACGCCTCATTAGCGATATGATACCAAGCGAGTCACTAACTCGTTCTCAAATGGCAAAGGCAGCAGAATGCAGCGAACAGACGATCAAAAATATCCGCAGGAGCTTGCGACTGGTCGGACAAAATCGCCTCTATCGCTGCTGCGACACTAGCCTGTTGTGAGACTTAGCAAGCAATGTTACGATATAGCGAACGACGGCCTACAACTCGGTAACGTCATGTTCAGAATGCGAGGACCTGTTAAATCGACCCCGAAAATGACTGCTTCAGGTTAACCACCGGCATATCTAGCAGTTTTACATATCGGGCCAAGCACCGTCTTATCCCAGCATGTTCCGGCGTGCCGCACCTGACCGGCCTCCAGTTGAGTCTTATCCCCCCACCACATCCGGCCACCCTGGTCCGTCTTCCAATCATCGACGAGATCTACAAGGGTCTGCAGATGCCCCAGCGCGGCAGGCTGACAGCCTCTCGGTCGCCTGAGTGCCAGGTATGTTGCGAAAGTGGCCACGAGGACGGCTAGTATGGCGTATATAATCAACCGCGAGTATACCATATCAAACTGGAATTCGTGTTTGAACGACAGGTCTTCGACAGGAGTGGAGGCGAATGATTCGATGTCTTTGGAGGCTGCAATGGTAACGGAAGGGATCAGGCTCTGACCAATTATCCAATGCAGCACCGCTTTGGATATGAATAGAACGGCGTTCTCCCAACTCGATACAGCCGCACGGAATGGATTCGTGGCCAACTGTGTCCCCGGGGCCTCTCTTGTTTCACTATAAGCTTGTCGCCAAATGCCTTCATCTCTGGACAAGTTGACGAGCAGCTCCAAACAGTGCAATGCAATGGTCTGGCTAGCCTGGATAAGACAGACAAAGAGAACGCAAAGTACAGCCTCGGCACCGAGCGAGAACGTTGCGGAATTAGGATTGTGGTCATTCGCATATGGGGACAAAGACAGCGTCACATAGTTCCGAGAGCACGCCGTTTGTATTTTATTCCATTTGAATCCAACTCTCCAGCATAAAGGTTCAGAGTTCTGGCCAGCAGCACTGGCGTTGCCGATGGACTTGGAGACAGTGGCGATAGCGATAGGCCACGCGATGGCCAGAAGAGCGAGTGACCATAGTAAGGCGAGAATATATCGCACCATGCCCTGTAATTGGAACATATTTCCTTGTCGATCCATAGGATATGTCTCTTGGCTTGGCATTTGTCTCTGGTGGACTGATTGCATACATCTCCCGGGACGGTGAGCGAGGTCACCTTTCTGCATCACGGCCGACGCGGTGTTGAGCGGGTTGGAGCTCCAGGTCGGTATCAACTTGTAGCTGGACACTAGGCACCATATGGCGATGACGGCCTGACCGGCGAGGCCTAGACCCAAGGCTACTAGAGCTGTGGCGTTAATCAATAATGGAAATGGGTCTTCATTCTCAGATCGCACAACAGCTTCGTCAGACAGCAGCAGGACGGATGAGGAGGCGTATGATAGCATCAGGCAAGTTAGGGCCACTAGGTTGATGTACCATTTGTTCGGGCCGAATCTTTTGGAGCTGGTGAAGAGCCGGATATTGGTGTTGAACTCCAGGCGTCCCTCGCGATACAATGCCCAACGTAACGAGACGGAATGCACGAACATCATACCATCAGTGCAGAGTGCTAGTATGACGTTGATCCCTAGGGCCATGGCTTCTCTTCCAGAAGTAGAGATAGAGGCCGAAGCGCCGAGTGTTGCCTGGTTGGTTCTGAGGAGGTAAACACCGGATATCAAGCAAAGAAGGGAGAGAATCACGCCCGTCAATACGGCGGCAATGCATCCAGATCTTGTAGCGCTCGCCGTGTCAAAATCTGGCCCATCTTCCTCATCCTGGTGTAGTGATTGCTCGACGAATGGCTGCTTTTGCTCTTCCGAAAATTCCTCTTCCCTGAGTCTGGAACGTGGTTTCGGTCGGTCCATGTCGAACGTCGAATGGATCAACTAATAGGTTTGTGAATTTGGCTGGGCAACTCGTCCCCAGGAAACGGCCCTATTAATACGCTTGGAGGGGTTGTCAGCCCCTGCACATTAGCGTCAGGGGCAGTGCACGCTACCTTGATGTCCAACATCGCCGATCCATAACCCAAATTTGGGGTCCAATCTGGGGTACGGTCCCCTCGCGACATAAAACGGCACAAACTGGTGAACATGCAAGACAAGATATTAAAAAAATCCGTCTGCTGCATTTAGATGTAAGAATGCGCTAGGACGAGGATGTCAGGCAAGCGAAAGAGTCTCACGACCAAACTAGAAGAGATAAACCTAACCCCGGGAGGAAATCCACAGGTCCTCGCTTTACTCTACCCATGAGGAGAGAAATGAGAAAATCTTACGGAGGTTGCCATAGAGTACAGATCCCAAATTCAGGGGATGACAAAAAGGCGCAGGTGCTTGAAGCAAGGGTCGGGTTGGTGACGCACATCGTTCTAATTGGTGTACGAAGCGCCAATAATCATGTTAGTTTGTTGGAAGACAAAGCAACCGGTCATTGCAATGCAGAATCGAGTAAAGCCGACCCCTTGACCTGAATCACTATTCTCAACCTCATAGCTTGATGTATTCTGAAGCGACTTACAATATGTGAGCCGCACATTCGGAGATCTAACGAGTATTTCCAAGGAGCGCGTATGCACTAGCACCCGCTAGTTTCCACAACTAGAAACGCCGAGTGTGTCAAATCATTGTCAAAGCTAAGCTTAGTTTCTTTTTAAAATAGCGGCTGATGCCATCGCGCAATCTGAGCGACTATCGAATTTCTGTTTAGCAAGCAGATGCCCGGAATGATGAGCTCTGGGGCCAACTCATGCTGGCAGCCATCAAATGCATTGAGCGTTTGAAGGAGAAAACTTGAATCCAATCCAGTACTACCCTAGGCAGTGCCAACAACTACTATTATCATCAGGTGGAGGGCAGTCCACCTATTCTACTAGACTAAATCTGGGCATTATATTTCTTTTGGCTGCACCGGCGCAGCACTAGTCTGTCAACTTCACAAGGCTGATTCCGCCAGTCATACACCGACGCCAGGGGGGAGAGACGAAAATTGCCAGGCTCCAAGGCTATTACCTAGGTCCTCACTACCAGTACCATATAAGTAGCCTAAGATCTACATATAATCAATTCAGCAGTTCTCCTCGAAACCTCTTTGCCTTTCGGGCAGTATTCCATCACAGAACACCAATAGCTAAACAGCGCAAAAACCACCACTCTATATGTTGTACCATCCGCATTTTTTTTATTGATTGACCATGTCAAACACAGAGGACACCTGAGAACAGACCACACCTATCCTTTGTTTAAGAGACAAGACTCCAAGCGAGTGGAACACACCCAGGGTCTCGCCTAGACTGGCTTACCCACCCCACCAAACCACACCCACCCCACCCAATCCATGCTGTGGGTTAGATAAGGGTTGGCCCTAATCTAACCTATATAGATATAGGTGAATAATATCTAACCTATATAGGTATAAATAATCTATTTAGGTGTATATAACTAATAGAATTTAGTAGGTATATAGACTTAGTAGTTTATCTAAATCTATCTAATTAATTAATTTTCTATATCTATTAGTCTTTAAAGTAACTAGTGGTAAGAAACTAATTATTAATAACTATATTTTTTAGATATATTATCTTTAGGTTTCTAGAATCTAGCATTAAGAGATTTAATAATATATAATAATTAAATAATTAAAAACTTAATTTAGAGGCTAGCTACCTTATAATAGTCTAGATAGGTACTATTATAAAGAGAATATATAGGAGCTAGAGGCTATAGCTTAATAGACTTAATAAGTTATATAGATTTTAGAGTTTTTATAGATTTTATAGACTTTATAGGCTTCTTTAGAGTTGCATTTGGTGTGAGTTTGGGCGAGTTCAAAACCAGTTGGCACTGAACCGCTGTGATTTTGAGTTCAAATTTTAGAACCTACAGCCAACCTGGATCCAATCCAGGTTGGTGGTGGTTTCACCACAAAAACCCGCCACTAGGCCTAGCTAGGCCTAGCTAGGCCCCTACTAACTAACCATGGTTAGATTTGGTTTAATCTTAAGTTGGTTAAACTGCTACCCCTTGGTGAATTTTGATGGTTTTTGAATTTCAATGCCTCATTGAATGCCATATTATTTATCATAATATTACTATGCTAATCAAAAATTATCATTTTTATATAAAATATATTATAATTATCATCATACTAATCTATATCTAAAATTTTAATTCAATATCTATAGGGCTGAATGGGGGGTGGTTAAAAATAATTATTTAATCATAGTGGTTATTAACTATTAGTTATATATATATATATATCTACACCACTTTCATACCACCCCATGACAAAAATGATTATTCCTCTATATCTCAGCAACCACTAGGTATTTTAAATTAATATTTATATCATTAGATAGCCTAGATCAGGGGCTATCTAATGA